AAGTATGCTTTAATCTCTGTAAAGTATTGAAAAAATATAATTATCAAGTATCTCAACACGTTCCTTATTGACACATATTCTACATGTACACGTAGTGGTTTTGCCATACAGTTTATTGTGTGTGATGGTTAATATGACTTCCTAAATGTTAGCGTTTGGAGACAGTGAAAGTGGGAAAGAGAGTATACATAGATTTATATTCATGGTCTAGAAAAAAAATGGCCAAAGACATTGAGTTGTTTAATGTAATAAATAAATTCACAAACGTTTCCTTTTTATATTCGCGTGTAGTTTGTCATTGCATATATGCACTTTATGTAAACATTTGAAAAGGGATATTCGTCTCGTGAATATTCCTTTTTACAGAAAGGTTTGTCCCATTGTTGAGGGAGTGTTTAGCCCCGTACCACCTGTACCGGTCACGGGAGAAGGCTGTGATAAATTGTAAAAACTTGTGCCCCATCCTTTGTTTAATTTTATTGGCAACAAATTTATGTTAAAAGCTAAATAAATTTAAATTCTTAATATTGGCAAGTGTGCAATTAACTTCTGATGATGAATAATTACTGTTCAATAAGTTTGAATACGGAATTAGAAATCATATAACTTGGTTTCATAGTGCGGTAAGAAGTTGCAGTTGCCTGACGGCCCCTCTCTGAGGGCCCCTTTGTAAACCGTTTCATCTCGCTCGCACCACTTGTGTTTGCTGCCTAATCAGGTGACGTTATCGGCGCTATTTTTAGCCGGGCTTTCCCGAACAATTCAAGTGGTCAAACTGGACATTTGGAACGGACTATGAATATGGGGATAGCGAGGTAACATAAGTGGAAGTGCATACAATACATACATTAAAAAAAACCGCCTTTTCACGTGATGTCCCTTTAATAGCAATGGTACATTTAGTAAAGCAAAAACAAAAATAACTGAACAAGCTAAAAAGGCAGTATATGCATTGTACAAGAAAATAAGAAATATTCCATTGTCTGTTGATTTGCAACTTAATTTATTTGATTCTCTTGTTTCACCGATCCTATCGTATGCTTGTGAGATATGGGGATTCGAAAACACTATTATCATAGATAGAATGCATTTGCAATTTTGTAAAAGAATCATGAATGTGAAAATGTGAAACCGGAAGATATCCTCTGGAAGACAAGAATGATCATGTTCTGGTTTAACTTGTTAACTGGCGGGAGCAAGATATCTAGTCTGATACACAAAATGACATATGTTTCACAATCAAATGAACAAATGCATTTTAAATGGAATAATTACATAAAAGATATATTAAACAAGTTAGGTTTTAGCAATTTGTCGATTTTTCAAAATACTTGTACTATGAATAGAAATCATTTCAAAGCTGTAGTTAAACAGTGTTTAAAAGATCAATTTATACAGAAATGGTTCCAAGAGATAGAAAACTCTTCCCGTAGTATATTCTACTCCATATTTAAGACAAACTTTCAGTATGAATCATATCTAACAAAACTTAATGAAAAAGATAGGAAAATTATTTGTAAACTCCGCACGTCTAATCTAAATTTCCCAATAGAGACTGGACGCTGGAATGCAACTCCAAAATCAGATAGAATATTCCCTTTATGTTTTGGGTGATGAACCACATTATTTGTTTAAATGCCAAAATACTTCTATATCATCAATAAGAAAAATATATATCCATAATTATTACACTACAAACCCAAGCAATTTTAAGCTAAAAGGAATGATTTCTATTTGTAATTTACATGTTTTACCCAAAATAAGTCGTTTTCTAGAGAAACTAATTAAGGCTTTAAGTGACATAAGATAAATGCAGTGCTATTATTCTGTAGTATTATATATTTACATGTTGTATACACAATCTGTACTCACTTTGCTATGTAATTGAAATGTATCAAAATGTTGACCTCTTGTAACACACCTCGTGTCATGAGTGTAAAATAAAACTTAAACTTAAACTAACACAGGTAGTATTACATGTATGTACCGGTCAGTTTCCTTTTGTCCCCAGTGTTGGAAGGAAACATGTTTTTGAATGTATTAAAGTAAACAGCGTTGAAATGTATTTTACAAGCGTTTTTACCGTAGGCAAGTTACCTGGACCAAAAACTGACGAAGTAAATATGGTAAAAATGTATGTGTATAATATACGATATAAGTATATTTATGAAAATTCTGAATTCTGCAGTTAAATTGTTTTTGCAGTAATGGTGGTAATGATATGACATATTGAATAGTTTAAAATACCAACATGAACATTTGTTTAGCAGAATTGTATTAAAATCTATCTTCATGGGCGGATCCAAGAACTCGTGATGACTTAACTTGTGGCACACTATTTTCAGAATAAATCTTCCAATTTTAGCATCATCAAACTTATCTAGTTCCTGATTATGAAAATTGTGTTTTAAAACAAACGCAAAACCGTTGCTGTGAAGCCTAGTTAAATTGAATATTACTTACTAGACCGAGCCCGGTAACATTCTTTTCTATTTTGAGTTTGAATTCCAAGTAGATTTAGGAACCTGTTTCTTTTCTGAAAAATATGCTATAATATGAAGCAAATGTGTTTGTGTCTGGGCTTTGGGCAATTACTTCAAGCCACACATGAGTGACGAATCTATTTGATTATTTATATAGATATCGTAAATATTTTAACTTGTTGAACGGAGTAGGCAAATAAATAATGCCTCAGAACGGTTCACTCTTTTTCATGTTTCAATACACATTACAGAGAAACATATTTGCTTAATCCATACACATAGACTTGCATGTTACTGATTTTAAGTGAAATGAAAAAGATCATGAAGTGGGGAAGGACCATTTTCATTTCGTATCCTGATCTCAGCCGACATCTAAAGCAATAGTTCCACGAAACAAATATTTTAAACTGTCATATTATTCACATTTAATCATGACAGTGTCAGTTTGATTGACACTACCCATACATTGGTTGTTCACGTATACACGTGGGTATAATATACTACCCGGTGTTTTTACTTATGAGAAAACCAAATTGACTGAAAGTGTATGCGTTCCGTGCCTACGTGTTCTAATACTACACCAAACTCAGATGCAAGATCTGCTTGGTAAAACTTTCCTTTTGAGCGTTGTTGATATGTGGATATGTTCACGTTATGACGGGTATTAAATATACATGTACACATATAGGAGAAATACATGCGATTTATCAGCAGATTTCAGATCATTACAGTACATTGCAAATATATGACTCTATTAAACTGGCCTTTACGTCATATTATTTTGTTTTAAATCAAGTAAAATATGTATGTGCGTATCCTATATGCGTCTTACGTCCGGCCGATCCCTGTCATATTATGATCATCCTCCGATGTAATTTTTTACGTAAATAGTGATTTGCCTTCGTCCTGTCATTAATCACACCGTCAGTTGTGTCCATTGAAACAAATCAGAAAATATAAATGAGAGGTGAAGTTCCTGAACCCTAGCTACTGTTATATGGACCAGTGACCAAAACGTGCCTCTCTGACGTCACAAGTACAACATGACCTGTTAGCTCATTACAATTCTCGCCAGTAATTATATAAGGAGCGGTCACATTTGATTGCCTATATCTAGGTCACGGGACACTTCTGAACTCGCGTTGATGGATGATTCTGTATTTATTTAGGTATATTACAGGTTTCGCTTATTTTTCCAAAATGTCAAAAATCGTGGTCAAACTCCTTTACGGTATTTGTCTTTTTGCGATAGCGCGGATCAGATGCAGACTGTAGAGTGCCATCTACCTGTAATATAATGCAAAAGACACCAATAATAGTTTGGGTTTGGTGCGGTTTTATAGATGTTAACGTCCTACTTACAGCTGATTTCATTTCAGAACGTGTCTCAATATGTGTTGTGTTTGCGCGCATTTGTGTACGTGTGCCGAAGACAGCGTATGTTGGTTCAAGGGGCACGATTTTCCGTCCAAGCAAGAGCTAATATCATATAACGACGATGTCCACAGACGATGGGATTAATTTAAATCTACTATAATGACCGTTTATTGTTGTTGCCAGTGTCACACGAGGACAGGTGTCTTAGAAGACTCCAGCGGATAGAGAAAGTAGACAACTTTAAACATCCGAAATGTTGCAAGTGGGCAGCAGATTAAACTAACCCCCTTTGGGAAAAAAAGTATAATTTTAAACTCACACTTGTAACACTTCACTTTCTTTCTATCATTTGGACAGGTATGCAATTGGTCCCCGGGTTATATGCTCACTTCATTCCCAATACGGAACAGTATCATCTACAACAAAACCCCAAGCTGGCTATCTATCGATGTACGACCTTGACTGAACCGGAGGCAACCACGTCATGTCCGATCTCCAGGGTTGTTGACGATGTTTGTACACCTGCCAATGTGTCCTGTTCAGGTGAGTCGTGTAGGCAGGAACTTTATAGGTTAAGGTCTTATTTTGTTGATCGTCCTATTGACAGCCAAGGTCCTGTAAGGACTTGCCACCATGTGTGTTGTGTATGCGTTCAGGTGTGCTGGAGGCGGGGTATGTACGTGTAATTACTTCCATGTTATAGCGAGTATCTGATGCCGATTTTATAGTGCTAACTCACCACAGAAATAACTTGCCGAAGGTGCCCAGCACGGCATTCCGCCAAGTCACATAATACTGACAACAGGAGAACCAGTTGTTGTCATTTCCCTAAATGTTGAACGTCAAGTAGGGAATAACAACTACCATTTTTTAGGACTGTGGCAGGTATAACGAAACACACTTAACTACATAATAGTGTCTTTGTTGTTTTGTTTGGGTTCAACGGCCCATCGACGGCTGTGCTCATTTATTTATCTATTATTTTTTTTTAAAGAAACATGTGAGTAGCGAAGATAAAAAGGTTCATTTTAAAAGCATTTGCATTGTATGTGTAGATAATTAAAATAAAAAGGGGGTTAAAATAATAAAAGAGATAACGAATAGAGGATATGGAATATGTGATATATAAAACGTCAAAAAAAGATAAGGTGGGTTAAAAGACATCAGTCTATATATAGAATAGACCGATGTCTTTCAAAGTAGTTATCACGAATGTGTTTAAAGTCGGAACATTCTATTAAAAAATGTTCCACTGTAAATGGAGTGTCAAATGCGTGGCAAGAAGGTAGATCTTCTCGTTTTAAAAGGTACGAATGAGTAGGATATATGTCCCCAGTACGGAGCCGAGCGAGGACAACTTCCTCTCTACGATCTTTCCGACTGGGAATATTTTTAGATGTTTTCAGTTTCGGTTGTACCTTACATAGTTTGTTGGTGGTCTCGAGAGACCAGCGTTGCTGCCATTCATTTAAAAAATAGTAGGTTTAAAATCTGTATACATGTGTATGGTAGTTTGATATTTGTTTGTTAGAGATTTAGTGCATATTATGCTTCCCTGTCAACACATTGCTTGCCTTTAATTCCGACTTGGCGCGGAATCCACAGTAAAGTTATTTTAGACTTTTTTAAGATACGAAATATTCGAAGAGCAAGGTTGTGTATGAGTGTGTTTTTAGGATCTCGTAACTGTAAACTCTGTAGAGAATGAAGACAAATGATCGCCTTTTTAATGCGGTGTTCATCGATATGGTCGAGGGTAACCAATGGCGCATGCTTCGGCAGAAAAGATGGAAGCGCCGTCGGGTAGTCGAACTGAAGTGCAAGAATTAGCAGTACAGCAAGCTGCTGCCACTTTCTCACCTTCATTGGTGTAAAGTTGTGTATGAGAAGGGTAATTCGAAATGCATTCCCTAAATTAGGATTTGTGTTTTTCGGGCATAACACTTGATTTCCCTTGCTCATGTAATGTAAAGTTAAAATCGGGTGTTTGAATGGTCCACGGAGGAACATCAGATATGTTAAATTCAGCTATGTAAGTCAACTTTATGTTGACCTCTTGCTGGAAAGGACTATGTATGGTTTGGGCCTTTTTTGGCCCCCAAATCTATCAAAATTAAAAATCTGCAATGTAACTTTCAAACGAATGTTTCTTTAATTTTGAATGCTTCCCCAGTACTATTATGTAAATATTTATTTGTGTTTTCAATTTTGGCTGCCATGGTAACCAGGTCATATTTGCATAAATTATTGAAATTTGATTATTCAGCCAATTTTGACAGGTTTTCACCTAGTTTTTCTCTTAGCTACCATAGAGCGCACTCTTGAACAAACTTTATATTTCTCCTAAAGATGTATAACAGGTACCTACACATTATCCTTTGATATTAAGTTTGTTCAAGCATGCGCTCTATAGTTTCTAGGAGATAAACTTTGCAATATATCCCAATATTCACCGAATATTTTTTTTCTTCTAATTTATGCAAATTTGAACTTGTTACCATGGCAACAATAATTAGAAATATAAATAAATATTTTCATAATGGTATTTTGGAAGTATTCGATATTAAAGAAACAGTCATTTCAAAGTTCATTTAAAGGTTTTGAATTTTGATGCATTTGGGGGCCAAAACAGGTCCAAAACCATACATAGTCCTTTGAAATTCGGACACCAAATGTTGGCAGAAGTTTTGGGTTTTGCGTAAATAAAGACTAAATTTCTCATTTTTAGTTCGGGACTCTGTTTCATACCACATATAAAGTATCTGAAGGATAAGTGTTTCAAGGCGTTAAACGTTATACGAGTCCTTTCTCATACTGATTGGGGAGCGGACCGTGAAATGCTTTTGCGCCTATACAGATCACTTATTCGAACAAAACTGGATTATGGTTCTATGGTATACGGGTCGGCGCGTAGTTTGTACCTGCAGATGCTATTCCCAATCCATAACCAAGGACTACGTCTAGCCCTTGGAGCTTTTCGAACAATACCTGTAAAAAGCCTGTACGTGGAAGCGAATGAACCATCCCTTTATGACAGAAGGAAAAAACTTGCATCACAGTTTGCAGCTAATTTAAAATCAAATCCCAAAAATCATGCTTTCGACCAAGTATTCAACCCAAAAAATACCAAAACATAATAGTGTCACGACAGGTTTTATTTGTTTTATTTAGGTTTAGCGTCCAATTAAGGATGTACTCTTCTGAGGTTTAAGTCTCATTTTTATCTGGTGAAACAGGGTTTTTGTAATATTTAACAAGTTATGATCAAGCTTAATAGCAAACACGCATCTGGAAAATCTGTCAAAAATATTGTCAACCTGTTGGTTGTAGAACTTTTTTTACAAGAAATTTATAAAATGACCAATTCGGCGGCCATTTTGAAAATGTGAATCAATGTTCTTGCGCTTCACAAAAGGCCAAAATTTCACCTTTTTAACACTAGATTTATCACTTAAATTGTCATTGTGTCGCCATTTTTAATTGTAGCAGGTTCAAGTTTGCTGTACAACTTTATAATGTTCATTATGATAAAAATAATATGCAACAAAGTGGAAAATTATACATTATTGGTATTTTCTTTTTACATATTCAGTGGAACTGAAGCCTTTTTAATTTTTGACCCCGAAAAAGGTGAAATGTAACACAAATATTAATAGGACAAAAAAAGCACACGAACCCCCCCCCCCCCCCCCCCCCCCCATTTTTGTGGCTTAGAAAGAGAAACACATTTTCTTTTGATTCATTATATTAGAAAAAAATCAATAATCACAGAACTTATTATTATCAAGCGTTTAATCTGCAAAAAATGGTGAAAAAAAATGAGCATTTATTTCATTAAAAAATAAGGGGTAGGGTAACTTAAATCGTTTTTGTGAGTTAAAAGAATAAAATTAAGAAATTTTACTTCCATAATTTAAAAGAAAATTATATTATATCTGATAAAACGTTTGGAAAACATTGTATGAGTTTGTTCTGAAAATGGTCAAAACCAACCTAAAATCACATATTGTGTTAAATTGGTAAATTTGACCGATCATAGCATAAAAACGAGCACACGGACATATAATATTTTTTTTTGTATTTTCTACTATGCCATTAATTCCTTTTTCAAAAAGCCATACAAGAATAAAAGTTTAAGACAGGATTCTCAGAGGTGTACATCCTTAAGGACCACTGTGCCAACGCCAAAACGCTGTAACTTTGCAAGACACAGGTGATCACTATTTGTTTCTTCAGCGGCCGCTTATGGCATGAAGTATGAAACAGCAGGCTGATATCCTTACTTTAACTCTTTTTACCTATTCTTTCTATGAACAATCGCTCTCCTTTGTACTTTCAGCCACAGACTGTTTTAATACTTCGGTGCAGTATGTAGGGCGTGTATCATGCACAGTGAATGGGACGCTCTGTCAGAGATGGGATACAACATTGCCTCATGTTGGAAACTTCCTAAAAGATAGAACAGATCTCCAGAATTGGTGCCGAATCGCGGGAGAAACGTCCCGACCCTGGTGCTACACAACTGATCCAGATGTACGCTGGGAATACTGCCCTATCCAAGATTGCTCTTAGGATCACGTTGCTGAAAGGACAAATGACTCTTTTTTTCTCATCCCGTCTTCTAATGAACTGAGCTGTTGCGAGGACGTTAACACCCCCAGTTATATTATGAAGACAAGTGAAGCTCCCTAATGGTAACACATGCGTGCGTAAACAAATTTAATTCCCTTGATATACATTGCCCTTACTTTTTGACGTCCGGAAGTACTCGTCCAGTGGGAACTGGAAGTGTATCCCGAACCAAAGTTTGGTTTGGGTTTGGTTCTATTTTGTTTAACGTTCTAAAACAGCTAAGGTCATTTAAAGGGACATCACGCGGAGAGCCATCTTTTTTTAATGAATGTATGTGTTGTATGCACTTCCACTTATGTTACCTTGCTATCCACATATTCATAGTCCGTTCCAAATGTCCAGTTTGACCACTTGAATTTTTCGGGCAAGCCCTGTTAAAAATAGCGCCAATAAAGTCACGTGACGGTTTTGAAACTATTTATAGACACCAAGGAATATCTTATACCGGAATGTGACCGGAGCAAATGGATACGGGGCTAAACACCCTCCCTCAACCACGGGACAAACCTTTCTGTAAAGAGAATATTCACGAGACGAATATCCTTTTTCAAATGTTTTCATAAAGTATATATATATGCATTGACAAGTGTAACAAAGAAAAGGAAATGTTTGTGATTTCTTTTATTACAACTCAATGTCTTTGGTCACTTATTTCTACACCATACATAGAATAGGTCCTCTACATTAGCATTAGCGTTCCTTGTCCGCGATGCTTTCAGCTTAATTGCTGCCTTCGGCTGTCTTTAGCCGAGGGGACTATTGGTTTTATATAATAGCTATATTTTCAACTATAGTATATCAATTCTATCTTCTTGTAATATGATGTATATGTACATTCAACTGTTCTGTTTTGAAAAAGGCACGGATCGCTCAGAAAACTTTACAACCTAAACTTGTCCACACTGTTGGAATTACTTATTTGCCCCATATAAATATATTCGGGTATACTCTCTTTCCCACTTTCACTGTTTTCATATGTTAACACCTAGTAAGTCATATTAGCGATCACACAAAATAAACATTTCTGGCAAAACCACTACGTCTACATGTAGAATATGTGTCAGATATGGAACGTGTTGAGATACTTGATAATTATATGTTTTTATTACTTTATAGAGATTGAAGCATACTTGTAAATAAACCCTTTTTATTTTGAAATAACTCAATTCCCTTTGTCCGAAACAGAAGCCGTAGTTATCGGTAGCACGCGCCATTTTTACAACGTAAACAGATGCGTTGTTAATGCCTACTCCGATTCTATCTGAAGTCGAAATTTTATTATTTATAGACGAAAGTTGTTGCATGATCATACATTCTAAGTCAACATCTAAGTGAAAACATGAACTGTTTAAACATTTCAAATAAAAAATATATAACTATAAGCACGGACTTAGATAGCAATCTAATTGGTTCTCCTTCCTCAGTTATTCATATTGAACCGTCTTTTTGATATATTTAAATCTTGCATGTGAATAAAAAAATTCGTTCATTTCCACAATACAATTAATCCCACCAATCTACTTAACCCGGGAATATTATAAATTATGTAAATCTAATAGAGTGTGTGTCTCATTTGACCCCGAGTACCGACAGAGGTACTATACAACATCACATCAGTAGTTATCCCTTGGAGGGCCCCAAAGCAAAACCAAACTAACCAGTCACTTATCCATAGAAACGCAAAGTAAACTCTCTCCGCTACATGCCCATTAATTAAAATAACAAAGTAAGTTCATCTATGTTTCAACTTAGACAAAGATACTAGCGAGCTAAATATTTCAGATATTTATTCATAACATAAACAGCATTTCTGTTGATTCCATTTCAGCTTTATATAACGGGTATCCGGAAGAACATATGCACCGTACTAACTGCTTGGGTAGTTATTTTCTCCTTTGAATACTTTCCACCTGCAATAATGCTTCCGAATCCTTGCGCTATCTTTGTCCATTCGGCAACTTTTCGCTTCGTAGCTGAAGCAATAACAGGTTTTACTCGCTGACACTTTCTACGACAAGTCATGTTGTTTACAATGAAATGACGTGTTGTGCGCATGCAGTATTAGATGTGACGCGAACAACTGCATAACAAACAATCTGACCAGACAGGATAACGAATCTTCTCTACTATTAGTAATTACACATTTTTATGAATATGTAACGGCAAAATCGGACCGTTATTTTCAATTAGGATACTCACTGATATATTCATGAAGTATTTCAAAAAAACTAAAAAAACCTATATATACTTCACCATGATGTCCCTTAAAGGACGAAACACAGAAGTTTCGATACATGGGAATAAAATGAAATACTTTTCAAAGTTTGAAATACTTTTCAAAGTTTGACTTTTAATGTATCTATGCAAAAAACATAGTTGAAATTTGATATTTGTCGTTTTTTTCATTCATCCGTGACGTTTGATCAGCTGCTACCGACACAAATGTCCGCTTCTAATGTTCACTGTTTGTGTTTTACATTGAAAACGCATGTGTAAATACGAAACAAGGATTTTTCAGATATGTTAACATTATCTATAAACGTTCAGAGTCATTCGTCGTGTGAACATACTGTAAGGCTTCCTGCTCTCGTGGTATCATATTCGCTCACATTCACCGCAGGGGTTCGTTGCGTATGCCTGAAATATAGATATGCTATACTGATATGGGCCAAAGCACATATCAGCATAAGCTTCTTCCTTTGTTAACTGTGATCCATATCAGAAAGTCACGAACTCCTGTGCTCTCACTGATATAGACTCAAAAATATTTTAGATTTTGGTTTTAAGCATTAAGGGAAATGGCAACAACTGGTTCACCCGTTGTCAGTATAGTGTGACCGGGCAGAATGCTGTGCTGTGCAGTTTTCTCCCAGTATTGTTGATGATGTCACAGGCCGACGATGTAGTTAATTATTTGCTGCTTACAAGAATACCAGACTGTCACTGTTATGAAAGGATACGGAATATCAACAGTGGACAATCAAATGTCTTTAAAATTGCCGGGAATCATTTAGAAGATTTGCAACTTTTCTATTCAGGATAGTCTTCAGATAAAAATGGACCCTTCCATCTTTTTATAAGTGGACCTTGTGGTACTGGAAAATCACATCTGATACAGTTGATACGGGAGTTAATTAATCGTTACTCTCCTAGCATACTGACACGGAATTCTCCTGCAGTTGTCGTGATGGCACCTACAGTCATGGTTGCCTTTAATGTTCAAGGATCCCAGTTCAGCATGGGCCATATCCCCAATATGTAGCCTTAAAGGTGAACGTCTTGCAAATATGCGTGAAACCTACAGAAATACAAATACTGTGATCATTGATGAAATAAGTATGGTATCATATCAAATGTTTCAGCATATATACCAACGTTTGAAACATTTGCAAGATAGGGGAGAGGAATGTCTGTTTGATAATGTAAATATCGTAGCTCGTGGGGATTTCTTCCAGCTTCCTCCAGGTAAATTCATTTCACTGGACCACCAGAACACATACACAAATGGAGAGATTTGTTTATTAAGGTGGAACTCACTCAAAACACGAGGCAAAAAGATGGTGCTGCATACAGTGATATACTGATGAGGATACAGACAGGCTCACAAACAGACCTAGGGTCAGAACCCATTGCCCTCCTCACCATGGCGAACGCTCAACACGAAGGACAGAAGTGAGATGTTGCAAAGTAAGGCGATACGAAATAAAAGGTAGTTAGAAGCTGAAAGAAAGATTAAGATCCGAAATATTGCAATGAGGGCAGCAGATTGTGTCCCCAAACAGAAGACGCCTAAGCAAATCCCCGATTTTGCAGGAGATCACCATTAGTCGCCTCCTACGATACAATGCGATGGGTAACAGCAGGTGTATCACCCCCCCCCCCCCCCCCCCCCCCCCCCCCCCCCCCCCNGGGGTGCCACGGGGTCTTATTGCTCAAACCATGATTGCCATCTCAACATAATTATTCAAACAAAGTTTGTCTTATATCCTGCTGAAAATCGAAAAATATGACACAACAGTGTTATTTCTCGTTATAAATTAGAGTAAACTTTACACCCTCCCCAACAGAGAACAGGGATAATGAAATATACAACCTTGTTAAAACGCCAAAGACCTTTCCATCTAAAAGGATTATTTGATCATTTAAGGACGGCCTCCCCTTTGTGCAAGATGCATGCGTGTCGTGTATGTGTGTGTATTTTTGGAGGCTGCGATATGTTCGTGTTTGTCTCCTTGTGATAGCGCGGAACTGATGCCGACTTTATAGTGATACCTCACTGAAACATATTGCCGAAGACACCTAGCAGGACGCCTCAGCCAGTCACATTATACTGACAACGGGCGAACCAGTCGTCCCACTCCTAATTTGCTGAGCGGTAAGCAGGAGTAGAAACTACAATTGTTAAAGACTTTGATATGTCTCGGCCAGGGGACAGAATCCAAAGCCTTCCTCACAGGGGCGAACGCTTAACAAATGGCCATAAGTGAGGCATTGTCAAGGGAGACATTAAGAAGAAGAAAGTTTTAGAAAGGAGAGAAGAGATAAGGTCCCAAATTTAGTCGCCTCTTACGATCATGCAATTGGGGGCAGCAGGTACAATTATTACGCCCTACCTTCAGGGTATTCAAGGAAACGAAGAACAGCAGTTCTGAAATGGGTCTTATGGCGTTAAGGGAATACAACTCTACTACAAAACAAGCTGGGTGACTCCAAAGTTTCCAATTTAACAATTTGTGTGTTAAATATGGGGACCATCCTTTGTGTCCAATGTCTGCTGATGGATTGTTTGTATTTTCTACAGACGCAGAGGTATTGCAACAAATAAAAGTTACTGCAAGCGAACATTCTTTCTCCAAATGTAAAATGCAATGCGAAACATCAAGGACCACATTCAAAAAAAGGTGATATGCTTGAGGGCAAAAATGCAAAAGTTATGTTGTCAGTGTATGCTCCCTACGACATTTTAATAGGGCAATGGTAGACATTATTTATCTGGATTGCCGCAAGCCTCGGGATTCGCAACCTGATCTGGTCATGTTTGAGGTCAAAGGAAATCGTGGACCACCATTTCTGAAAATAACAACAAACAAGTAGTTCCCATAGTGTCTGTGCAAAGAGCAAAAGGCGACTAATGAGGAACCACCTTCAAAACGGGGTTTTTCTTCCGCGTCTTCTACGAAGGGGATAGGGAAGATACCAAAATTGATCAGTAACCCCCATCGCAACAATTGTGATCTTTTTAGTTTTATATCTTTT